ACGAGATATATTTCTATTAGCCGAATTAATGTCAGCATAATTAATCACATCCAATAATGTTCACTGAGCAGCAACAACAGCAGCAACAGGCACAACAGCAACATCCTCAGGGTCAACAGTTCGTGTTGCGCCTTTCCAGCGATTCCCGAGAGACCTTCACACTTTTGTTTATTGGCCACAATGCGTAGGTTGTAGCCATGGGCATTTTATAAGGCTTGCACCGGGAAGATCAGCAAAACACTCTCTGGAGGCAACAGAGCTAATGCAATTTGATTGTTGGCCTGGTGTTTCGCCTGACCAAGACGAATTTCTTACCCAGTTGATAACACTGGCGGATTCATAATTGCAATGGCAGGAAAAGATATAATCTTGGAAAATCGCATTAATAAATGGGCCAATAAGAACATCGAAACATAAGAAAGTAATACATTGAGATTCAATTTGTTATATAAGCAATATAACGCCAGAAGGAATCGGTTATTGTACCTGCACATATCAAGACCTACAATTAATTAATATATTAAATTCCTTCCGAAATGCTTTTGTTTGGTCGATATATATGCCATTCCTTCAGGTTTCTTTCCTATCCTTGAAAATCTCTACAGCCACTCCATAATTTGCCTCCTGCTGTTTAAAGGCGTTTCCACGTCAGATTCTGGATCACGGTTTTTTTGTAGTTAAGTCTTGATTTATTTGGCATAATTTTTTTATTGGCAGTTTCAACACGTTGATGGCTATCAATTTGCACAAATTAAAAATTAATTGCAAATTTATGGCTTTTAATTTACTTATCGCTTGATTTATACCCAACCATTGCAGCCGAAATACTTTTTATGATTTAAAGCTCAGTCGGCCAGTGCGCAGATTTGTTTTACGATTTTATTTCATTTTTTCATCGGTGGTCCAGTTGGCCGCACTTAGAATAGTTAAGAGTCAAGCAATTTAACTGGAATTAATTGCAAGCTTTTTATATTTCTATTTCGTGTGTTTGAGAGTTGATAAAAAAGCCGTCCAACTTGAGCCCGATTAGACCAAGCGGAAGTGGCACGTCAAAGTCACATTAAAGCCAAAGGCTATAAAACAAAAACTAAATCAAAAAAATAAACAAAATACAGCAAATGTAAATGCAATTTGCAAATTTTACTTGCATTTTTCTAACAATATTCCAATTTATACGAGTGCCCAAGCCTGGATTTATTCAAAGGCAAAACGATAAAAGGCAATCGACTGGCAAGGCAACGACTGGGCAATTGTTTTGGGCCAGGCCCAGATCACTGGACCATTGCCACCAGCAGCCACACAGCCAAACAGCAGCAGATGGAAAAATGCAACAATAAATCTCATTTTATGCAGAGCGCAGAGCGAACGGCCCTTTTATAGGTAACGCTAATGTGGCCCAAAATTGAACTTGACATTTGAATGCCCAATTAACCATGACGTCGACCAGAGCCGAGGGTCCTGGACATGTCCACGTCCGCAGTACCAATGCCAATAGCCGGGCCACACTGGCTTCCATTTTCAGGTCAAGTTTTTGGACATTCCAATGCGTTATTCTGGGGCCCCGTTTTATTGGAGCAATTCAGGCTATGTGGGGTGCTCGATGTGCCTCCTCCTCCGGCTTCCTGCTAATTAACCCACTTTCTTTGGCCGCCCGAACCTTTTTTTTTGCTCTTCTCCCAGACTGACTCTTTTATCTCAGCCATTCCAATCGCTGCGGTAAAATTTGCCTGTCATAAAATGCCTTTGGAACTGGCCGATGCACAAATATGTCGTATACTCTACTTGCGGTTCAAATTTCTTATACATCGGGTTCGTCACTATTAGCTGGGGTAAAAATATAAATATAGCCTTTTTTTGAGCAACATTAATTTAACCTTCTTAAAAGTGTTTTCATTACTGTGTTAAAATAATAAATAATTAAAATTTGCAAAAATTATTTTGAATCGAAATCTTTTTTTATGCATTTCATCAAAACATTATTTTTTTTAATTGTCATTTAGTAGAATCTGTTAAGTTTTTTTTTGTTTTTTTTTTCGGCTGTCTTACTTTATTAAAATTCTTAAATATGTTAGTTATTTTAAAAATAACATATATGTTTTATATATGGTATATTTTATTTCCAATATTTTAAGGTTATTCTTGGGTATAATACAGACACACAGTTTTTGATTTTGTTACGAATACAAAGGGTGTTTTGTAAATCAGTAACCTTTTTGCCTGAGTTATTTTTCTATTTCGATGTGAGTGCAATTCTCACGCGGAGGCAGCTCGCCAGTTCACGCAGAGGCTGATTTTTCGGCCGGTCTTGGCCTGGTCTGGCTGGGAATGATTATAAAATTGCGATAAATATTTATACCGCTCTTAGATTTATGGTGATTCATATCGCCAGACGGCAGAGCGGAGTCATCGCTGGCATCGGGTAACAAGTAACGTTCATAAACATTTTTATTAGCAATAATTGCACAATTTTCCATGTGGTTCATTTGCGTGTGCGGCCAAAGGAGGAAAAAAACAACTGGGCAAGCCGACTGTCATCAATCATGGAGTGGCGATAAGCCAACTTCCTGGCCTTGGCAGCCCCAAGGGTCACTCTCATATAATCATAATTTCCAAGTGTCGGCAAAGAATGGTTGAAAAGAGTCAAATGCCACATTTAAATAATTCAAATTATGTGTAATCAATTCGGTTAAAGGTTTTAGCCTGATTTTCAGAGCAAATTGTCATGGCCGCAAGCCGAACAGCAAAGCTAACTGTATTTATTAATAATTTATATTATTTGTTTATAGAAGGCCAACACTCCAGCGAAGGCCATTTCTGCTCACTTAGCTAATGCTGTGCCATAACTTAATGGCTTATTTGCTTTCAAATTAGAACCCTAAGGAAAAACCATTTTCTGGCATTGAAAATAATTAAATGTTTTCATAATTTATTTGGCATTTGCAACAATAATTTATTTCGGAAATACATATTTTTTTCTAAACAAACAACTTACAGTTCGGCGGCATACAGTTTTGTACAAAATATTAGTTGCGAGCTTGACTAAAATGCCCAGAAAATATACTTTAAAAGAAAGAGATAGTTATTTGGTTTGTTTATAAAGTAAATCGAATAGATTAAGCTCGGTGCTCTCACAACTTAAAAAGTTGCAATTTTTTTATAGAAAATTGAATATTAAAAGAGCTTTATTATTATCTTCAATAAAATAGTAAAGAGGCATTTTAAAAATAACTTTGAAACGTTTTATTTCTGAATCCTACTGTTCTTTTGAACATAGCTGTTAATAAATAAATTAAATAAACAAAAGTGCTCTACATTTGGTAGTCGCCTTACAAGTAAAAAAGTCAACTACATTTTCATGTGTAATTGGGTGCCAGTGCAACCCAAATTTCTGGGGTGACTGCTAAGTGTTTTGTCTTGTAATTTACAAATGCAAAATAGCCGAATGTGACAAAATGCATTCGCCTGACAATTTATCGTGTAGCCTACTTCCTTGGCGATTGGGTGAGGTGCTGGATCTGGGGGCCCCCAAAATCCTCCCGCTCCCTGAATCTCCTGGAGCCGAAAAACTAGTTTACGCATTTTGCGTGTGCTCGGGCATTGATAGGCGATGTGGATTTATATTTATGGGCCTAGCCGGGCGTGGCCTTGATCTAGAATTTCAGTTGTGCCGGCCGCGCGTTTTTCCGATGTTTTCATTTTCGTTTCAGCGCCGAACAACGCGGCGTATGTGTGATGTGCGCGATCTCGGGCGATCCCAGGTGAGTTAAGGTGATGTTTTCGTGTTCGCCGTTTGCACCGCGCACTTGCGTAATCACATATCAGAGTGCTAAGTACCGGTTTAAACGACGGCCCAGACCAGTTAGCTAGTTTTTATATTTTATGCATCTAAACTGAAGCGCCGTGGAAACGCGTGCGATTATTTTTCTCATTTTTCCACGCCGCATTTCAGTATATCTTTCTGCACTTGTAATTTATTGAAAAATTTAATTGAATTCGCATGCTCGGCAACCGGTCGCATAATTTTTGTCCACCCGATTACACATTGAGCAATTGCTCGATCACATAAGTTTTCCCAACGCTTATCAGAGTTTTCGCATACAGGTGGTGAAAAAACCATTCTTTAAAAACATTACATCAAGTGTTTTATTGTTAGAACACTTAAAAAAAATCGAGCCTGGGGCTTTAGTTCTTGATTCTGGTACAACGTGAAATTTAATTTATAACTGCAGTTGATTATTGAAATATTTGTAACAACTTAACATAAATCGAAAACATTTAACATTTGTTTATATTATAAAATTATACAAAATACAATCATAAATGTTTTTAGAACAGTGTAGTTCTTAGTGTCATTTCTTTGGCTGGGACTATAAATAAAGCAGCCTATATCAATTTTCACTCATTCGCTTGAATTTAATAGCAGCATGTTCCGCCTGCATTTAACTCTTCTTTTTATTCTATGCCTGGCTGTTGTGATCCTGGCTGACGACATGGACTTGGACTCCTTACAGGATCAGTATGAAAAGGAGCAGTTTAAAATTCGCAAAAGTTTGTAACTATTAAGACTCTTTTAGAAAATAATTTAAATATGCGCATCGCGCAGGTGTTTGCGTCCAGAATTCGGAATATGGCAAGTGCGAAGGACACCGTCGCCTGTGGTACTACAATGTGAATAGGGCCAAGTGCCAAACTTTTATTTATTCCAATTGTGGTGGAAATGGCAACCTTTTTTTTACTCGAGAATCTTGCCAGGAATTCTGCGGTAAATACAACTGGAAGAGGAACCAGAAGGCTGCACGACAACGCATGGCCGTTTCTAAAAGTTAAATTAAATATTAACTTTAGATTTGTATTAAGAAAAACTTTTAAGTGATTAACTAAATAAAAACTCACACAAAAATGAGTAATTGCAATCCAAATCAGTTGAACGGACCTAAACACATTTTCATTAACTAAAAAGTGTATAAATACCCCGACAAATGACGACTTTATTTTAGTGAACTTTTTCAGTTGTAATTGTGAAAGATGAAAGTGCTTATAGTTTTACTAGGTCTGCTTTCTGTGTCAACGGGCCAGTTTTCAGCTAGAAATAGAAAAGGTGAGGTGAAGGTTCTTATTTAAAAATAGTGTTAACAGTCTTATTTACTTCATGCAGCACTTTGTTACCTGCCTTCCGAATACGGAAAATGTGGAGGTCACCGCATGATGTGGACGTTTTCAAACCGTCAACAAAAGTGCGTACCATTTCTTTTCTCCAACTGCGGCGGCAATGAAAATCGCTTCTTTACCAAGGAAAACTGCGAAAATGCTTGCGCTCCAACTGATTCGCCATTTGAATTTTATGGATAATTTTTGGAAGGAAACAATAAACATTTTTTACAAAAACAGCTAAATTAACTTTTTTTAATATATAATATTAAACATAAAATATTTAAATTTTTAACTCATAACAATTTTACTGTTTTGTATAAGAATCTTACTTTTATTTGCAATTAAGGCGAGCCTCACATAAATCACATTATTTACTTCTGCCTTTTGTTACCTGCATAATTTAGCTTTACAATCACAACACATTTTCATTAAAATTTTAATAAGAAATGGAAAGATTAATATAAATACCCGAAACATTTGTTGACTACGTTTATTTAACATTCTGAGTTCAAATAGTGAAGGATGAAAATACTTCCCATTGTTTTGGGTCTAATCACCTTTTTTTTGGCTACTGCTCAGTCTATCGATTCCAGAAACCGTAAGATATAGATGTAAAATATAGCTGGGTATATTATTAAAATGTATTTCCTCAGCCATATGTTACATAGTTTTTGATTTTGGACGATGTTCCCATTATCGAATTGTCTGGTCCTTTTCGGAATACGACGATGAGTGCATAAAGGTCCTTTACTCTGGATGTGGAGGCAATAAAAACAAATTTTCTACCAAGGCTCAATGCGAAAACTTTTGCGCGCTACGATGACAATAAATGAAATAAAAAAATGGTAACTGACTTTACACTTAACTCAAAAATATTATTTATGTTTGAGTTAAAGTAAAAGTGTAGTTAAAAATAGTTAATAAAAAATATGTTTTTTATTAATTTAAAAAAATAAAAATGTTTGTTTTGTTTTATTTTTTTTTTATAACTATAACTTTTTTATTACTTAAATGTTTGCAAATAAAACGCTTGGGTTTCGACCATGTTTTGTTGGCGTCTGGCGGTTTTTATACCCTTGCAGAGGGTATTATAATTTTGGTCAAAAGTGTGCAACGCAGTGAAGGAGGCATCTCCGACCCTATAAAGTATATATATCTTGATCAGGATCACCTCCTGAGTTGATATAGCCATGTCCGTCTGTCCGTCTGTCCGTCTGTCCGTCTGTCCGTCTGTCCGTCTGTCCGTCTGTCCGTCTGTCCGTCTGTCCGTCTGTCTGTTTCTACGCAAACTAGTCTCTCAGTTTTAAAGCTATCGAGTTGAAACTTTGCACACACCCTTCTTTCCTTTGCACGCAGTATATAAGTCGGAACGGCCGGGATCGGCCGACTATATCCTATAGCTGCCATATAACTGAACGATCGGAAATGCCATAACTCTGCTGTTTGTAAAGTTAGGAAGCTGGGATTTTCTATGTGTTTTATATTTGGCTAATCAATCCGACCTACCAAATTTCATAAGGATCGGCCGACTATATCCTATAGCTGCCATATAACTGATTGATCGGAAATGCAATAACTTTGGTGTTTGTAAAGTTAGGAAGTTTGGATTTTCTATGGGTTTTATATTTGGCCAATCAATCCGACCTACCAAATTTCATAAGGATCGGCCGACTATATCTTATAGCTGCCATATAACTGATTGATCGGAAATGCCATAACTTTGGTGTTTGTAAAGTTAGGAAGTTGGGATTTTCTATGGGTTTTATTTTTGCCCAATCAATTCGACATATTAAATTTCATAAGGATCGGCCGACTATATCCTATAGCTGCCATATAACGGATTGATCGGAAATGAAATAACTTTGGTGTTTTTAAAGTTAGGAAGGTGGGATTATGAGTATTAAAAATGCATCATATGAATAATTTTGGAGAATATAATTTGCAGAATATTCTGCAAGGGTATTTCAACTTCGGCTCCGCCCGAAGTTAGCTCCTTTCTTGTTTTGGTTCAACTCGTAGCCGGCGCTCAGGAATGAAAGAAGGCCGGAACAAGCAGTGGAAAGCTTTTCTCCAGCTTGGAGCACTTTGGCGGAAATAAAGTACACCAGCGCCAAACACACACTCCCACAGGGGCGGAACTTGAGTTTGTCAAGGGCTGGGCAAATATTCGTTGCTTGCTGGCAATTTAACCAGGCCAACAGCATTTGGCAGTGGCGAAATGAAAGCTCGCCTGTAAAGTTTGTTTGCCGCGTATTTTTTCTTTCTTTTTACTCTGCTGTGGGCTTTATTGTGCGCCGTTAGAGGCATAAATCACCGATGAGGGGGCAAAGTGGGCAAGTTTACAGGTTGACTCGTCGCTCGTACGCAAAAAGCACATTACCAGAATGGCAATCGCAATCGCAACTGCAATGGCAATGGCAATGGCAATGGCCAATAGCGAAATCAAAGAATAAAGTCACGCAATTTCAATTACAAATAAACGCACCGACGGAGAAATGGCCAATGAGGGGATCCTGATGCTGACTGCACATATATCCATGGCAATAGCCATAATAAAAATAATAATAATGAAATTGTGATAAGCTGCGCGCCACAAATTGCACGCGAGTGAGACGGAGAGACAATAATTTAAACCGTTAAGCGCAAGATGAGGCATCAAATGCAGCCGCCCAGAGATGAAAGCGTGACACGACTTGGGGTAGAAAGATAATGCCAAAGATCGGTTTTCACAAAATTGTTATATTTATTCTAAGTATACCACAGTTAGGATTCCGTGGGATAAAGATATTGATATATTAATTTGGCTCAAAAATCAAAAGCTTGTTACTAGCACGAAGATCTTTTTCATAAAATATTTCAGAAATGAATTAAGATTTATTGGGACAGCAAACAACTATTAACTATCGTTATTAGAAACAAACTCACCGCGCCTATATACTTGATATTTTACGAAAATTGTCTGCTTTTAAGTTGTTGGTGGAAACTCCTTAAAAGATTTATAAATATAGATATATCAGAAATATTGTAAGGTTATTTCAGATGAGTACAAATAAATGAGGTGCAAATTATATCAGTAACATTATTTTAAATTATAAAGCACAATTTTCAAATATAGTTAATTTAAGTCTCAATAATTACTATTAAGTAGCATTATTTTTTTCCGTGTCATTATCACGACGCTCCTCTTTGAGGTCCGATGTGAAGCTCACGTTCAGCTCGTTCAAGACGTCGTCATTCTGGCTGCCTTGAATCTTCGCCAATCCTATCGGATGTCTGCCCCCATTTGATGCTGGCGCTCTTTGTGGCCAACAACATTAGGCTCGAGCTGTTGGCTAGTGCCAATTAATATTCGCATGATCAAATGGTTAACGCATTTAGCCGTAAAAAAAACCAACAAGACATCGCGCCGCTTCGCAAACCGGCTCACATTAAATTCGCATTTACGCGTTTGCCTTTGTGTTACTGATCGAGGTTTCCCCCTGGCCAATCCTTGTCTTATCCCTGTGGGAAAGTGGGCTTTAATTGACATTAAGAGGCGTTTAAATAACCGCCTGACCCCTCAAAACAAAATTAGAAACAACATGTAGTCTCAGTTAATTATTTATTTATTTAGTATTTATTTCCTTCAGTTTCAGTTTTCGCTCATTCTTTTCTTTGGATAAACACTTAAAAATGTGGAATTTGTGTTGTCACAACTTTGCAATCCGTCGTATATATTGGTTTTATTAAATTTCTTTAGTTATGGGCTAGGCTGGTTGAGTACGACTTTGTATATATAGTTTAATAAAATTGATTTATTTTCCGTGTGCGTGTCTATGGCATAACAAACTGCTGCCCAGAGAAAATGGATTAAGATGAGTTTAATTTGTAATTATCTTCGATTTTGTATTGAGTAGGTAGGTACTTAATGGAATCTGTTGTACCACAAGCAGGCTAACATTTAAAGCGTTCGCATACATCGATAGAGAAGGGTCGAGAATACGCATCGTTAAAGTCTAAACTCAATCAAATATTCTACGTAAACCAAGTTAAAACAAAAAAAGCTATAACAACAAGGCCTGGCCTTAAACAAAATACATTTTACAATCGAATAAATATGTGTAATGTTATTTGATAAATGCTTACGTAACAACTAAGGGACTAGTTAAAAGTCATTTTAAAAATTTGTAAAACATTGTCAAAAACATATTTAAAATTAGGCTGACTCGTCACATCGATGCAGTCAATTCATTTTTACGATTTTGTAAGCTTTCAGTTGCTTATAACTTGATGCGTTGTCTGTCCTTTGATTTGATTCGATTCGCTTAAATATTCAATTAAAAATTATATAACAACACGCATACATATTAATATTAGAGTTAGTCGTATGTATATATGTATAATATATAGTAAATGTGATTAGCCAATAGGTTATAGATTTTCATGAATGCGGGATATGATTTTGCATTGCTCTTTTTCGTTAATTTAATTCTTTGCCTTTAGCATTCAACATTAATAAAATTTGTAATAAGCCAATATATTTTAATTTCTTCCCTCGTACGCCAAATGTGATTTTCTTTCTTTTTCTTTATCTGTTAAAATTTGCTAAAACATTTTCATTTACTATTGTTTTATATCGTCAAGCTTGATTTGGTTTACCACATAAATGCAATACCTCAATATGTATGTGGAATAGGGATGCAATTGTTACCCCTGAAAAATGGTCTAATGATAATTCCCTTTTGCAAAATGATCTAATTATAAAGTCGATTGGAAAGGAAAGCTTTCTGTCCTATTTGGAAGTTGTGAGCTCTAATAAAGCCTTCATTGTTGTTTGGTGCATTTCTCTTAATTGGAAAAAATTGTGCCTTTTGTTGATTGTGAGTCTTTTTGTTCGTTTCGTTTTGTAGTTTGTTCTTTGGCCATTCAAATAGTTAAATAATTAAAAAAACCCCCGCTCGTATAAAAGTCAAATGCGCAAGGACTACAAACTACCAGTTGCCTTACAAAAATTCCCTCTCACTACAACTTGAACAGAGCCCCATAATTGGTGAGGCAAAATAGTTTGGCGCATAGGCTGCGACTTCGACTGTGACTGCGACTGTGACTGTGACTGCGACCGAGACTGTGACCTGGCCTGAGTGGTGCCGGTGGTGTCGGCGGTGGTTGCATTCCTGGGGCCAGGTCCTGGCTCTATTTCCCGCCACAATACTCGCCCTGCAGCATTCCATTGTCGAGGAGCAGAGCCGGCGTGGTGGAGATT